TGCTGAGGATCAACCAAAACATCCATAATTGAGTGGAATCATCTTTCCAAGAGCTTAGTAATAATCTTAAAGCTAATGTTATAGAGATATGGGTCTAAAGTCCTTAACGGAGCTAGGATGGTCAATTTTTGGAACCAAGATAATATTTGCTTGATTTCTATGTTTCATGAATTTTGGATTTCAAACACATGTCTTTACCATCTTACAAATCTTCACTCTTACATGGTGCCATTGGGTCTAGAAAAAGTATTTTTGAACGCCATCTAGTCCTTGTGCTTTAAAGGCATCCATAGTAAAAGCTGCATTTTTAATTTGAATATCTAAAAACTCACAATTAAGCTTGGAAAGAGTTTTAGGATCCAAAATGGAAAATTTTAAAGGCCAGTCAAATAAGTTGGGAGATAAGAGAATCTTGGTGTATAGGTTTTGGAAGTAAGACAAAGCTAACGATTTCAGAATATCATGATTGTCCACCTACTCACCTAATTCGGATGTCAAAGCCTCAATCTTTTTCGTCTTTTCTTGATAATGATCATAGCATGAAAGAAACTAGTATTTTTATCACCCCCATTGTAATCACTTACATCGAGATTTTTGATACCAAATTAATTACACCTGCACGGTTAAGTTTGAGTATTCTTTCCATAAGGATTTTTCAAGTCTAGCCAATCCATTGTTAGGATTTTGAGACTAGCCTGATCAATTCCTTTCAACCTTCTTAGAATCTCTTTTTTCTTCCCAAGTATATTTCCAACTTTAGTACCATTCCATATTTTAGTTAGATGATGAAAGGAGGATACCCTATTTATCTAATTATAGTTATGCCAAGATTTGGCAACAATATCACCAAAATTTAGTTCGAGACTCCAAGCAACTTGGTATTGGAATGATAGAGGTCAAGAGGGTTGTAAGGTCTCCCTTAGTAATCTCCACTTAACTCCAGCATTAATATAATCAAGAGACTAACCCAAAAGGATTACTTAGTTTGTAAGTTTTGTAAATTAGGGATCTTAAATTTTCAAAATTTAAACACTTCAATATACCTTTACAGATAAAAAATCAGAGTTAAAGGTGTATACGGAAGCATGGGATCTTAAATAAATCAAAGCATTTGCAATAATGTTGAAAACTAAAAATAGTACCACAAAAAATAGAGGAGGACCTCAGCTTGCTATATGTGTGTTGCTGCACATTGCACGTTTTTGATAGTATTGTTGATGTCATGCGATAGCAACTAGGGTAGACTTTTGATGCACCCCATTTCTTCACCCGAAATTTGATTAAGGCGATCTAAATATCTACAGAGGGCTTTCTCCTAACTCTAGCTAATAGCACTAATTTTACAATCAAATTATTTTTTAGTTAAAAATTGGACACCCTTCTCTTAGTTCACTCCTTTTCACAATTCAAACATAACTTGGGTGTCATAAATTCAATCCAAGTCCTAAAAGCCTAATTTACACCTTAGACCATACCCAGTAAATCATAATGAACCTGTGCAATGCACCACATTATATAATTAGCACATCTAACATATTTTTAATGCTTAACCCCATAATCACAAAAGTAGAAGGGGAAGCCTTAATTTCATAATCATCGTACCAAATCAACATAAATTGTATATTTGCTCACCTCTCATTTACACTAATATTTTAATCCTTTCTAGTTTTCACAATTAATACATACACAAACGAGGGCCCAAAATACACACAGTAACAATATCAAACCCATAGTGCAAGTAAGTGTATATAGAAACTCCTGGTTAGGAATATCATCAATAGTTATACACATATAATACTCAAAATAAAAGAGGCCTATAGTTTTAAGATCAAGATCCTAAGTCTTAGTCTATTTCCCTTGGTATTTTTCAAATGAGCTAGCTTCCATGATATTAAAGAGAAATGGGTGAATACAATCACTTGGTAACTAAGATATGTTTGACTTATATTAATACATGTCAATCAATTTAAATGTAAGAGGCAATCTATTATTTCACACACATCATTCTCATTCAAATTCCATTTTCATGAGTTATAATATCATTTCCTCAAAACTCACAATATTCATTTCACAGTTATGATATTAAACTCATTAGCACATGCTCTCAAAACAAGGGACATAATACAGACAACTATGTGCTATCATCATCTTCGAGGCCCCTTAAGGATGGTGAATCGTGAAGAAGTTGATTTGCTATCACCTTTTTCCCTTTAATCTAGATGTTTTCCCTTGTTACCGTACCTTCCTCTGTAAGTTTATTGCCTTGAGAATCAAGACCCTATTGGGTTAAAGGCAAAGTTCTAGTTACTGTAAATTTCATCATCTCCGGGGAGTTTCACCGCTTGCAACAAGAAGGGTTGCTAAGAGCTAGTTGAAGATTCATTGGAAGTAGTTGACGATGCTGAGCATGTTTTCCAAGGACGAGCTTCCTTTTGATGTTTGTAATGCCCACAGTGAAAACAAATTAATCCCAAACCCTTATATTCCACGTTGAAAAGAGTAGCTACTGAAATGATTTAAGGAATTAGTTTTTTATTACGATCTAGTTCCATACATATTCTCACATACCTTCTACGTTCAACTTTAACCCTTTGAATGTCGAAGTAAGAAATGGTGTTTATGTCCACTTTACTGGTTTTACCAATCCTATCACCTAATCTCCAGATGAAACTCTTTGTGTAATAATGCATGGGGATATTTAAGATATAAATCCCACTTGCTACTTTTCCTAAGGGATTGTGGAAAAGGGTCAAAATATGGTGTCCAACATTGAACCATAAAACAATGTTGAGCCATAACCCATGGACCGTCAAAGAGAACCTTCTTGTAATGCATTGCTTAGTTGTTTTCATCAGTGAAGTGAACAACATAGTAGTTGTTCTGGAGATCAATAAGCTCAAAATCTTTGATTTGCCATAGTTTGCTTAGCCTTTCTTTAAGTTTCTAGAGAATGTATGAAATGAGCTCCCAAAACTGTGATGACTAATATGCATTGCTCTAAGGCCTACACAAGTCATTGAACTCCTTACTGGCAATAAGGACTACTGGATAGATATTAATTAATTTTTTTCTCTCCTCTAAAGGTTCTAGTATATCTCCCATGACTAATCAAGTAGATCCGAGATGACATGGTCATCTTCCATATCAGAGCTTTCATAAGCAACGCCATTATAATCAGTCCCTTTAAACCCTAAAAGAGAATCTTTGTATAAACACTGTTATGAGGCCCTTGTTGGAGTCATTGCCTCATTCTTAGAACAAGTTTTAGCATCTTCCATTTTATTAAACATGATAGCATCCTCTTTTACCTCCTTTTTGGTTTTATTCAGTTGATCGTTTGGTGATAATTCCTTTACAGGTCGGTCTAATAACATTTTTTGATGATAAATTTCTTCCGTTGGACGTGGCATAAATTTTAAGAGAGAGCAGGTTGTTCACCTTACTGCTTGCTCAATGCTACGTTTTAATTTTTTGTAGGGTATATTTGGATTAAAATATCAATATCAATTAGAATGAACTGAAGTTTTAATATTTTTTTAGAAGTTGACAAACTAAAAATTATTTAAATGATTTGATTTAAAAATCAATTAAAATATATAATAACAAAAAGACATGAATTATAAAATATATATTTTTGTCACTCATTTGATATTTTTAGAAAAAATAATAAACTTTAATTTACAATTTTTTTCTCAAAAAGATAGAATTTAAGAATTTAAAATAAATACATAAATCATAAATTTTATTTTTTTAAAGGTAGAATTAAAATTCAAAATATTCAATTATGAATAGTTAAAATAAAAAAACATAAATTAAAAAATATTCAATTCTAAAATAATAAAAGATCAAAGTATATTTTTGATTCTTTAACTTTATATAAAATTTTAATATAGTCCTTTTAATTTTTTAAAATATTTTTTTAGCCTTTTAACTATAACAACATTAGTTTTAAATAATTATTTTTATTTTAATCATTGTTATTTTAAAAAATTTAACTTAATATATTAGTATTTGAAAATATTTTGTTAACATTTAAAAATTTAAGGTGTAGATTTTTTATGGCAAAAATAATGATATTAAAATTAAAGGACTTAAAATACACTTTATAAGATTAAAGAGTTAAAATAAAATAATATATAAAATTTAAAAATTAAAAATATATTTTGATCAAGATAAAATAAATTCATAACTTGTTTCGATACTTTTTTTTTTAATGACGTCAAGTAAGTTTGCATTTTTTTTAAAGACACTTTGAAGTCAAACCTAATATAATTAAAAGTATGTTTAGATGTATAATGATATCATGTACTGTGTGTGATTTGATATCTTTAACGTAAAAATATTAAAATAAAATTAAAAAATAAAAATATTTAAAATAAAAATAGGTTAAAATATATTTTTAATTTTTTAATTTTAGATAAAGTGTTTTTTTGATTCCTTAACTTTAAAAATAGGTTAAAATATATTTTTAATTTTTTAACTTTAGATAAGATGTTATTTTGATTTCTTAACTTTTAAAAAATATCTTTCCAATTCTCTAATTTTAATATTATTAATTTTAAATGATTATTTTTTTATATTAATTAGTATTATTTTTTTAAAAAATTAAATTTAACATATATTTAAAAATATTTTATTAATATTTAAAAATTTAATGTATAATTTTTGTGATGAAAATAACAGTATTTTTATGTTAGAGTTAAAAAAATTTAAAATATACTTTATAAAAATTAAGTGATAGAAATAAAATTTTATGTAAAATTAAGAGATTATAAAAATAATTTTTATTTTATAAACAATAAAATCTTGCTTTTAAAATTTTCAGGCATATTCTTTTAAATGAAATAAGTAGTTTTAGCTAGAAATTGTGAAATATAAAAGAAACTTTTTTAAAAAATAAAATCATATTTTAATTATTCTCAACTATAATTATACTATAAAAAAAAGCAATATAAATAAATCATTCCAGAAAGCTTTTCAACTTAGGTGGGAGAGAAAAGGACAACAGGCTAAATCATTTTATTTCCCCCAGACTGAACAATTTCCCTCCAGATTATTGCAGGGGTTACGCCGTGGGAAAATTTCCTTCACTCTCAGCACAACAATGGCTGCTTCTTCTTCTTATAGCAGTGGTAGCAACGCCTACGACGTCCCTTGGGTTGAGAAGTATCGACCTACCAAGGTCGTCGACATCGTCGGTAATGAAGATGCCGTCTCCAGGTTCCAAGTTATTGCTCGCGATGGCAATATGCCAAATTTAATATTGGCGGTACGAACCCTTCTTAAGCTTTTTCGCTTACTTTCGCATTAAGTGAGTTCATTTGAAGTGTAATCGCCGCCTCCTATATTTTGATTTCTTTTGTATTCTTTCTGTGGGTTTCTAAGGTTTAACTCGCAAAATTGCTTTGAACTAACAAGATCAATTTCGCGCGTTTTACTCGCCGAACCCTAATTTACCTTCATCTTCTCTGGTGGGGTATAACATACGTGCTTTCGAGTGTTAGATAGTAGCTTGTGCAAGTGTTTGTTCGGGGATGAAATAATTCAACACAAGTAGTTCCGTGGTGCTTTCTTTTCTTGTAAATTATAAATTTAAAAGGATGAGGATTGGCGTCGAATGGCTGGAATCAACGAACATGCTTACTGATTTCAATGAAACGTATAGTTTTTTTGTTGCTCCCTTCCTCTTCAGTTCACTTGAAGTCACTCCATTGTTAAATTGTGCACGCTGCTATTTTAGGGTCCTCCTGGTACTGGGAAAACCACTAGTGTACTAGCGCTTGCACATGAGCTTCTGGGACAAAATTTCAAGGAAGCTGTTCTCGAGCTAAATGCGTCAGATGATAGGTTGGTCATTTGGCTAATTGATGGCAGTTGTTTTGCTTTATTTGGCTCTAAAATGTTTAATCTAGTCACTTTTTTCCTGTAGAGGAATTGATGTTGTGCGGAACAAGATCAAGATGTTTGCACAAAAGAAAGTGACACTGCCTCCTGGGCGACACAAAATAGTAATACTGGATGAAGCTGACAGGTACGTAGGGATTGTAATTTAATGCTTAAGCTTTTCACTAAGAGCTTCAATAAAATGTTTTTGTTTATGGACTCTAAATTAGCGATATTTTTTCCTTGTCCAATCTCACTCTCAGTCATTTCTTTTCTTTTCTTTTTTCTCTCTATTCTTTCCATTGGGGTGATTGATGCCCATTATGTTGGATTCAATTCAGCATGACATCAGGAGCTCAGCAAGCTTTGAGAAGGACTATGGAAATATATTCAAATTCCACTCGTTTCGCTCTTGCATGCAATACATCATCTAAAATTATTGAACCAATTCAGAGCAGATGTGCTATTGTGCGATTTTCTCGATTATCAGACCAAGAAATACTTGGCCGTCTCATGGTAGTGGTTGAGGCTGAAAAGGTACAAAAAATTTCTGCATTGCATCATTGTCAGTTTCGTTGTGGGATTTTATTTTAAAGGGTGTAGATCTATCCCCTCTTATTTTCTGTTAGTTTGTGGTTGAAAATGTTCTTGTTGATTGAATGTGTTACTATTGTGGTTATTTACATTCAGCGGGGCTGCTGAAGTTTCATGGCCCATTTTATCATGAAATTGTGGATTAGCATTACATATTTACATTTATTTGTTTTAATCTCTCATTCTCCTCCCTCCCTTCTCTTTATGGTGCGAACCCACTCATGAAGGATCCCACGAACCCATAACCAATTCAATTGTACACACCCCAAGATGTGCTCCTTGTTTGGATTTGACTTTCATGTTTATAGAAGATGTGGCATACATATATGTTATACTTGCCTATCTCTTGTCATCGCCCTCTGTTTTTGAAAACTTTTAAAATTTTTAAGTGGTATTTGAATAAATTGATTGGCCTTGTGGTGACAAACATCATAGTTTAATGCTGTTTGAGGAATTTAAGATTATCTGACCTCTGTACACACGCTTTATAATTTCTGAAGTTTTTTCGTTTTTTTTTTAACCTTTAACATGTTTATCACAAACTTGAGTACTTTTGCCATTTGAAGTAAAAGCTTGAGTATGAGACATGTTGTAGTATTTCATCCGTGCCAATTTATGTCTTAATCTACTTTCTTTTGGAATACATGAACTATTGGTTTGTGTGTTGCTCAGTGTTGTTAAAGGTGCTCGCCTTGGTGCAAAGGCAAGGCGCTAAACATGGCCATCACCTCTCAAGTGAAGAGAGGCGATGGTTTAAGTCAGGCACTCGCCTATGAGCGGCTTGTGCGACTTGCATGTCCTAAAGTCGCTTGCCTGATAGCATGTTGAAGCAGTAAATAGGAGATGATCAATAGGGAGGATGGCCAGGACTAGGGATTTCAGAAGAGAAGACGAGGTCGGATGATGGAGGAGTGAGGAACACTGACTAGGTATGGAAGAACCAAAGAAGAGAAGAGTAGAAGGCAATTTGTGTTTGGCCGCCAATTGGGTATGGAAGAACCAAAGAAGAGAAGACGAGGTCCACCGACTGGCTATCACTGATTGGTTGTGAGAATAGTAATTGTGATATTCATGAGTTGTGACTGATGACTGATGGGTATTCCTATATTTTATATCATATTTTAACAAATGACCCATTAAAGTATGATATAAAATGTAGAAAACAATTAGGAAAGACGTATAAAATCCTATCTTCTCTTCTGAAATAATATGCCCAGTCTTCTCTTCTAAAAAATAAGGAAACTTATACCATATAAAAAATTAGGAAAGATTTAAATAATATACCTTGTCTTCCGATTTCTAGTTTGATTATTTGATAGACTTCAATATTGTTGTTTCATGTTTTTAAGACTTTTTCTCCAAATGATTGATTATTGGAACAGTTTATATTGTTTTGCAGAAGTTTATGATTTAAGTAAATATATATTATCATTTTATCTATTGTTTGTTGTCTATGATCTATATATTATGCATTTTCATATGGTAGGGCCTTGCTTCACTTAGGCACACGCCTTTCTAGCTCCTTGCGCCTAAGGCGTCTTACAGGCTTTGCTCCTTGAGCGTGCCTTTCACCTTTAACTGTTGCCATTATATGATATGGTAATGGTATTGTCATGAATTTTTTTTAAGGTACTGAATTTATCTGACTTGGTTTGCAGGTAAATTATGTTGACTAAATCTTGTAGAAAAATGCATTATTTTTTATGTGCATTCTTTGATTTGACATTGTTGTATAATATCATCAGACAAGTTTGATTAACGTTTCTGTCATTTTTGAGGTAAACTTGTTAGGAATAGCCTATTTGTCAACTATATTGGTTTGTGGATCTATAATATTATGATAGAAATTATTAGTGGCCTCTTATCATCCTGCCGTGGGAAATGGATGGCTGAACTTGGCTATTATTGAAGGTCCCATATGTTCCTGAAGGCCTTGAAGCGATCATTTTCACCGCGGATGGTGATATGAGGCAGGCGTTGAATAACTTGCAGGCAACACACAGTGGGTTCCGATTTGTTAACCAAGAAAATGTATTCAAGGTTAGAATCAGCAATGGTTTGTGATCTACATTAGTAACAATATACCTTGGAATCCATGGATAATTGTTTTTGGTTGCAGGTCTGTGACCAACCACATCCATTGCACGTGAAAAATATGGTGCGTAATGTGATTGAAGGAAACTTTGATGAGGCTTGCGTGGGCCTCAAGCAACTGTATGATTTGGGATACTCGCCCACTGATATAATCACAACACTTTTTCGTATAATAAAAAATTATGATATGGCTGAGTACCTGAAGCTGGAATTCATGAAGGTAGACATCATCAATTGACCTATTGATTTCTGTGCAGTCTAGGATGCATCTGATTGCCATTGTTTACTTCAATTTGCAGGAAACTGGGTTTGCTCATATGAGAATTTGTGACGGAGTTGGCTCTTATCTTCAGCTCTGTGGTCTGTTAGCTAAGTTTTCTCTAGTTCGTGAAACAGCCAAAGCTGTTTGAGATGACCCTTGATACAACTGATTTTCTCATCATTCTGCCACTTGGACATTCGGATAGTGAAAATGTTCCTGTTCAGATGCTTGAGTGAATTAGTATTACTTCAGCCTAAAAATTGAATGTTTTGCTTGAGCTGATGAATCTTTGTTACGTATAATATTTAGATATGATATCCTTGTTCTGTGTTCCAATTTGTTAGAAATCAAGCATTATTTCCTGTGCATCTGGAGTATGTAATATTTTGCCTGTGAGGTTGGCTGTAGTCTAAGGAAAAGTATTCGTTCTGAATATCAAGAGGAAACTGATAGTTCAGGACTTGAGATGGCTATATCACCTTGTTACTGAGAGAATAGGACAAACCTTCGGCTTTATGCATGCAAGTAATTTTCTATTTTTAACTAAACAAATATATTAATTGCAAGTTAGTTACAATTGGACGAATGAATTTCTATCCAAACAAAAAATATCCTCAACCAGCGTTTTGCTTCTCAACTCAAGTTAGGGGCCATTAAAAGCTTGTTTAATAGCAATCCAAACAGGGCTAAACTTTAAAGTAACCAAAATCGTGCGTTTTATAAACTGCCTAGTGAAAAGGGAAAAAATAAAAATAAAAATAAAAAGAAAAATGGCATTAAAGACTTTAAAAAAAATTATTACAATTTGAGTATAAATAAATTTGATATTATTCTGCAGGCCTTAGAGCTCTTATTGTAATATTTCTTCACATCAAAAATATAATTTTGTCCTTTGTTTGATTTGAATTTAAAACTTGCGTGAACTCTTGAAGCAACTAAATAAATCATGTATGACACAACATTCATTATAAACAAGATGATGTCCACGCATGTTTGACAAAAAGTCAATGCATTTCAGGAATTTCATTAGCCTAGGCTCTAACAAAAATGACTAGGCAAACTATGCACGACACAACATCTACTATGTATCAGACAATGTCCACGCATGCTCAATAGAAAATTCATACATTTTGAATATTTCACTAGCCTAGGCTCAACAAAATGACAAGTTAGGTAGATCATGCATGACACAACATCCATTGTGTACAAGACAATATCCACGCATGCTCAACAAAAAATCCATGCATTTTTAGTATTTCACAAGCCAAGGCTCAATAGAAATGACAAGTTAGACAAACCATGTACGACACAATATTCACTATGCACAAGACAGTATCCACATATGTTCAATAAAAAGCCCATGCATTTTTAATATTAAAAAGGACAATTATATAAAATATGAAGAATTGCATGTTGGTACTGGCCTAAGTACTAAAACAAGTACCCACATAAAATTTAATATGATATTTCAAGTCTGATATATACAAAAAGTTAGCCACTATATCTAAAACATCTAATAGTTACTTCTCTATATACAAACAAAAAATATTTGTAATTCTCAATTATCCAAAAAAAATTACTTGGGAATGCTTCCATATATATAATTATAATTGTCTATGTACACCAAAAAGGAACAATGTGACTACTTCTCATGCTTGGTTAGGAGTCTTGCATGTCTTGCGATTGTGTCAAGACTCCCCACATCTTGAACAATGATAAATCTTCTTTTGTTTTAATCTACAATGAACAAATTAATCTTGGTAAATGTCCATATATAGAAGCTCAACTTTTATTTTACACAACTAAAAGTTTAACATAAATAACTCAAATTTTATTTTTACATAACAAAAACTCTAACGTCTTTGACAGCAGATTTTCTTCACATTGAAAGTCATATTTTATTCAATTTACATTTCAAAGTCCAATATGAACAAGTCAACCATTACTATTGTACAATAACTAATCCACTCTAAAACTTTCACAACCAACTCAATAGTTTAGCAACATTTAGCTTATATCGATAGGTTAAACTTAACAAAATACACAAATAGACAAACAATGTATAACACAATATCCACTATGTACAACATAAGATTCATATATTCTCAATTGAAAATCCATATGATTTTACTTTATCAGTAGCCTAGACTTAACAAAATACTCAAGTTAGGCAAATAATGGATAACACAATATCCACTATACACAACACAAAGTTTATGTATTCTCACTTGAAAGTCAAGTGATTCTAATTTATCATTAAGTTAGACCTAATAAAGTGCACAACTCAATGTTCAACAACAACTTAAAGTTCATTTTTGCATAAAAAATACTACAACATTTCTGATAGCAGATTTCTTTATACTGGATCATATTTTATTCAGTTTACATGTAAAAGTCCAATATGAATAAGTCAACCATCATTATTGTACCACGACTAATCCACTCTAAAACTTTCATGACTAAAATGGTTCAGTAACCTTTAACTCATATCAACAATAAAATCATAAATAAACAAGTAAACTTACAGGCTTAAACATATGTGCTTCACACGAAAGACCTATTACAACTTTAACAACTAAAAGATACGCATACACCAAATCAATGAGGGAGAAACAAAATTGAAGATCCTTATCTCTAAATAGTAATGATAGAAGCTTCAAGAAATAGATGATGTTGCTCGAATAAGGAAGATGAAGGAGATCAGTAATGGCTGGCGATGTGCAATGCTGGGAAAAATGAGGTAGAGAACCGACTACAATGCACAATACGAGAGGAATAAGGAAGAAGAATGAATAGAGAAGAAGATCCCAACCACCACGGTCCTCCTTTGATGGTAGCAAGGGGCTGAGTTCCACAGGTCACCCCCCCAACTGCAACCAATCGCGACTCAATAGAAGGAAATAAAGGAAAAATTGTGAACTATGCTTTATCTATCAACACCCACGACTTCTACACTCATCCACACTGACGACAATCAATAATGGCAGAGTGATGACTGGTGAAATGAGAAAGAAGACAAGAAAAACAGTGAGCCATGCTTCATCTGTTTCATTTCTTTAAGGGTTCAAGCAGCTTTTCTGATTTAAAACAAACGAAGGGAAAAATTGTATTTTTGGTGGGAAGAAATATTACAATTGAGGCCCCAAGGCCTACAGAGCAATATTAAATTTGTTTAGACTCTAAGTGCAATAAAGTTTGTTTTTAGGCCTCTTAATGCCATTCCCCCAAATTAAAATAAAATGTAACTTGATCAACTCATTATGCTCGTTATGTCGATTAGATGGACTTGTAGGGTACTAGATTACCAATTTATAGTTCAACTCAACTAGTCCAGTCCGGTTTTACATTTAAAGGTTTTATAAATTTTATATGTATTTATATGAATATATATATATATATATATACACATATTATAGGTATATAGATGAGTTGGAAATTTTTTTAAAAGGTACTTATTTGTGAATTTATAGTTCTTTTTTTTCCCAAATGTATGATTCAATCTTATCTCAATTTATGTATCTTTATATTTACCGTATTCAATTTTCTTTCAAAATGTATCTTTAGTTTTAAAAAGGACTTATTTGTGGATTTATATCTTTGAATAGCACATTTATTTTAAATCCCTTGTAAAAGTATGGGGTCCATATTCTAGTTTTGATTAATACATACAATAAATATAATTTTCTTCATTCATGATTATATTCTCAAAATAATTAATTTTGGTTAAATTTGTTCTGTATTTGGAGGATTCAATTGAGCAGCAGTGTACATGGATGATTTTGGGGGGGGTGATTAAAGGATGATTTTGAGAAATGAAATTGATGTAAATTATAATGAATGTGATTTGATTTGGAATTTACGCTTTCTCAATAGAAATAAGGTGGAACGAAGCCTGTGACATCCAATCCAAGCAAAGTAATCATTAATTCCCCGCACCAAAATTAAAGTTAAGGGTTGTTATGTGCACAGACCTGCATGATTACCCTTAACACTGCAACCGCGCACCGTTTGTTGTTAATTCTACTTTTATGAGCTTTGAGCATTAAACCCCTCGAAGATTCTAGTCGCCAAAAAGAGCCTAGTAATCTTCAAAACTTTGACTCTGAATGTCGACATTCTCTTCGGAGGCAGCTAAACAAATTCTTGCCCTAAACAAAGCCAATAAAATCTATATCACATAAACAGATACGGCAGCAAAAATAAACAAAGAATATATAATTGTAAATTGTAAGTTCAATTAAAAAGAAAAAAAAATTTAAATTTAAATTCAAATCCAAATGATCAAAGGGCAAAAACATTTCATTTTTTAAAATAATTAAGAAAAAATGTGCTAAGTAGCAAATAAGGACCATTGGAAGACACAATGGACACAGGGACCACAGCATCCAAGAGGCCTTGATGAGCGGAGTCCAATGGAACAGCATGCGTCATCATCAAACATCCATAGGGTGGCGCATGTCTCTCACTCTCCGACAGCAGGAGTGAGACTTGCTAAATTTTTCTTTTTTTTTTTTTCGGATTTTTAGATTTGGGCTCATTCTAGAGACTCATGTAGGCATGTGAAGCATTCAATTGAGACATGATTTATTTATAAAAATTCCAGAATTCAAGAGCTACATTTTGATATATAATTTGCCTATTTTTAGGCACATGTAAATCAATTTAAGAGGCTTTTAATGCTTGAGTAAGTGAATTTTAAGTATTTTAAAATCATAAAAATAATTATAATTATTAAAATTATTTATCATATAGATAAATATGAATTGTGACTCCACCAAAAGTACTCAAATGTTTAAGAATATCTTTGTAAGAGGTATTCAAATGAAATATTTATTTCAAAACGTAATCCTTTGAGTTAGGATTTTGAATGAAACCTATGGAGACATAAGTACCACTTGGTGAGATTTTTTTTTTTTTTTGACCACCACTTGGTGAGAATTTGAAAAGTGACCAGGAAATTGACCCAAATTAAAACAAATGTTAATCCAAACCAAATGAAAGCCAAATTTCAATGAAAGTAGAATAAATATAGTGAAACAATAATTGCATAAATTACTTCCTCTAAATCACATCTTATAGGCAGTGTTAATGCTTCAAATGAGCTCAATTAAAAAAAGAATTTTTTTCCTAAAAAAGTTTAGGAAAATGCTAAGGAAATGTTGAAAAAATTGAAGTAAGGCTAAGGCCATTTATGGTTGTTGCAAGTCCCAAATTTAAAAATAAAAAAAATGCTATTTTCTTAACATTTTGAAAAGGGTAAGGCATTATGAAAATCCTCTCATAACTCTAAAGAAGCTAAAAACAGGAGTCATCTCGTCTAAATGATAAACAAAACT